GACCAAAACTGATCTGATTTACCAATTCATTATCAGTTCAGTTTTTAATGTTTTCACAACATTTTTTATTGTCTATTACCAATCTATTGTTACTAAAAAAAATAATCACCAAAAATTTATCATACCTATTGTTATTAAAATAAATCTCAGAAAATTTTTTTATTAACCTTATTAAATGTAATCTATTGTTATAAAAATCTTTCATTTATATTACTTACTAGTAATATTAGTGTTACTGTGAACTATAAAAAAATCTTACTAAAAAACAATTATTAACAAGTTAATTGTCTACTATCAACATATTGTTATTAAAAAAAAATCCCAGAAAATTTTTTTATACCAAACTATTACTAAAAAGAAATCTCATTAAATTTTTTATAAATCTCACTAAACACAATCTATTGTTATAAAAAAATCTTTTATTAATTTATTAGTAGTATTAGTATAAAACTCACTCACTATATCCAAAAGTACACTAGTTATTCATTAACAAGCCGTCAACGTTGCTATGTAGATATATATGCCACATTAATAACAACAGGCAACACAGATAACACAATACAAAAATATTTATACAGGTTAGTCTAGATATAGATATAGTAAAATTTTAAATCAATTTTTATTTTATATGTAATAATTAATTTTCCTGAATATATCGGAAATTCGTCATATTGATTTAAACTCATTAATCCTGTTGCAATGCAACAGACTACAGCTATATTAGTGATAGTACAAATGATCATTTGAAGGAAATACCTTGAATGATATTTGTTGCTATAGTAAAAATTATAAAAATTCTGATAGTATATGATTGGTAACTTACAAAATTTTTACAGTGTTTAATTGATTCAATTTATAATATCATTTATTATGACATGCTTTTTTGAATGCCAATTGGTCGTACAAAATTTTTCATATTTAGATAAAACAGAAAATTCTTTTATCCATCATTGTTCAAATTATCGTATCAATCTCAATCGCTTTTCATTCATTTCCTTTCTTAATTTGTGTACCATTTTTTTGTTTCCATCATTATCTTCTAGAAATATTTAATAATTACGCTAATACTTAATAGATACTTCCGCTGGTTGATCACATGCATCTCGTAATATAATAAACCCGTTAGAAAAAACCTTAACCGGTTATTAACCGCCGGTTAAAACTTAATTCTGACCGGCATTAAAATTTGACCGGAGTTAATACATTACGCAAATTTTAAATCTTAATTCTAGCCAGAATTAAGCTCCAATTTATTGTTAATAAATTTTCTTTAGCACTTTTTGAAGTGTAATTTTATTGTAAAAAATATGTAAACCGTTGATTATATAAATAACTTTTTTTTTGTTAACAATTTTACCTTAATGTTAAATGGCCATAATCTGCATGATTTGCATTTTAACCAAATACTGTAAATTAACCGGTTAATTAACTGGTTAATCCTAACAGGTTTCAAACTCCATTTGCCCTTCGATAAAGTACTTCTAAATTTTAAAACGAATTTTCTAAATTCTGTAATATTTTCTGTATCATTAACAGAAAGTTCTATCTTGTCAACTGTATCATTGAGATATAAATAAAAATATAAAAATATAAATATAAATAATTGAAATATAAATGAAATACGTTCAAAATTCCAAATTCATTATTGTTATCAATACTCATTTATAACATTTAGTCGTTAGTATAATAAAATGAAACTTGTAAATACAAATGATGAAAAATTTTTTGATCCAACACCAAGATTAAAATCTAGCCCTATACCAATTAAGTTTATTTCTTTTAATAGATTTAATACAATTTGTATTTATTGTGGAGAAAAATATATCGAGACACTTCTTTGTCATGACCAAAAATATTGCAAAAAATGTTTATCGCGTTATATTAATGATATAACTGATAATAATATATACTTGGACATACATTACACAATGGAATTGGAATGTAATGAACATGAGATAAGTAAGACAAAAGTACCACAAAGTATTCAAGAATTCTGTAAAAATTGTATAAGAATTTTATGTTTTAAACATACAAAAGGATCTTTTAGTAATGAATACCCTACTAATAACAATTATACCAACATATTATACAATAATTACACAATAGAATTGGAATGTAATGAACATGAGATAAGAAAAGTACCACAAAGTATTCAAGAATGCTGTAGAAATTGTATAAGAATTTTATGTTTTAAACAAATAATAGGATTTTTTAATAAATACCCTACTAATAACAATTATACCAACATATTATACAATAAGGTGATTAAAGATGAAAAACATTGTCAATTATCATATGTGGAAAGTCACTAGATGAACGTACTGCTGTTATAATGCAATTAAGACTATGCTCAGATTGTTATCTAATTTCATTTGAGTGGATAGAATCAACCTTCGCCAAAAAGAGAATTCCAATTTTTTACTTACCATGGTGGTACAACAGTATATATTGTAAAAATTGTTCGTCAAAATTAATATTTACATCAGAATGTCAAAAGTATTGTAAAAATTGTCTCATATTTTATACCGGATGCAGTTATTGTTTAACAACAAACATTATTTTTGGACTTACGAGTCAATCTCAGTGTAAAAAATGTAAAAGAATATCACTTATAGACAACAGAAATCCTGATGATTTCCCTTTTAATTATTATATTATATCATCTATATATGAAAAATTAAATTTAGATAAGCTTGCAAATATTGTAAAAACCACTGATAAATATTTTAAGCCATCAACTTTATTATATTCTATTTTTAAGGGAAAAAATAGTAACTCAATTAGGTGGATACCATATTCTCAATTTACAGATGTAAAAGAAATGACAAAAGGAGGATATGGTATTATATATAAAGCAACTTGGTTAATTAATAATGAAACTGTCATTTTAAAAAGATTTGAAAATTCTAAGAATAATAATAAATATTTCTTGAATGAGGTGAATATTTTTAAATATTTTCATAAGTGTTTTTACTAAATAATTTAGTCTTTAATACTTAATTAAATTTTATATTTTAATAGCTAAAATCAAATCAACTTATTGACAAAGTTAATAATTATATAATTCAAATTTATGGCTTTACAAAAGATCCTGAATTAGAAGATTATATATTAATTATGGAATATGCGTCAAAAGGAGATTTACATAAGTATTTACAAAATAATTTTACAAATATTACATGGAAAAATCATAAATTACGTATTTTACGACTTATTTCAGCAGGGTACTTATATTTTAAATACATTATTATGTTCTTAAATTAAGTTACTAACTTTTGGTTTATTTAGACTTGATAATATTCATGATAATAAATTTATACGCAGAGATTTCCATAGCGGAAATATATTATTAGATGTATTTCAATGGAAAATTGGGGATCTGGGATTATCACAATCTGAAAATAGTGAATCATCAAATAATGAAATATATGGAGTTATACCTTATATTGCACCAGAAATATTTAAAGGGTCTGCATTTTCTAAAGAAGCTGATATATATAGTTTGGGTATGATCATGTGGGAAATTACAGCAGGTTGTAAACCTTTTGCTAATGTTAAGCATGATATTCATCTTATTTATAAAATTCTTGATGGAGAACGTCCTAATATTACAGAAGATACACCAGAATGTTATGCTAATTTAATGAAAAGTTGTTGGGATCCTGATCCCCAAAAAAGACCACCAATAAAAGAAATTTATTTAGCTCTTAATTCTTGGTTTCGTGAAGGTATAAATGAAACAGAATTTGAACAAGCTGAAGCAAAAAGAAAAAGACTGATAGAATCAAAGAAGATTGGTCCTGAATTTGCTGAAAAATGTCACCCAGAAGCTATTTATACAAGTAGGCCATTAAGTGCTTTAATTTCTAAATGTTTATCCACAAATTCATCATCAACAATTTCATTCGGTAAGAAACAAGGTATTACTATACAAAAGTTAACTGTAATTAGAAAATAGTATAAAATAATCTTTACAATACATATTATTTTCTTTAGATTATAATTACAATTATATTTCGAAAGAAAAAGAGCTTGATATAGATATTAAAGGGTATTTAAAATTATATTTTTAAATAATTAATTACTAATTATGTACTAATTGATATTAACTTGTAATTTAGTTTATCATCACAAAATATAACAATTCAAAATTCCTCAACCTCTTTAAAAAAGCGAAACCAGGAAGAATTAAATCTTGAAACCCAAGAAAATATTGGTAAGTGTTTATTTGGCTCGACGATGATTATTTTTATTTTTTTTTTTATTAATGTTAATATTATTTTAATCAAATTTAAAATGTTTAAAGTAGGAAAACGTATTAAAATTAGTTAAACCAATTATGGGCATAGGATTATCTACAGAAGTTAATTTTTTTTTTTTAGCATGTTATTATATTAATTTTTTACGTATTCATAATAAGCATTATTTATTTTTGTTTTAAATGAAATATGTAATCTAAACAAGAAAAAAAAGATAATACTTTGCTATCAGAATAGATTTTTATGTCAGTAATTTACAACCCTTATAACATGCATTTTAATAGGGTTTTAATATAATTATACATGTTACCATGGATGCCAACATAAATATTAAAAGGGTTGTGATAAATCTAACTTGTAATATTAATATTATATATCCTTACAAAATGATAATTATTAGGCCTTATGCAATCAATTTTTTTTTTATTAAATAAATAATCATTTTATTATATATGTTGGTATAAATACTAACATTCATATCAGGCTAAATGATGTTTTAATGCATTATATAAGCATTACATTAAATATATAAAATTAAATAAATAATGCATGATAGAAGCATTGTACTAAATATATTAAATTCATGTCAATATTAATATACTAATATTAGTAAACATCCATAATATAAGCATTATAATAAACCATATTATAATAAGTAACATTTTATCTACGTGATCTACGTGTACGACGATTTTGTGAAAGGACATCTGGAAATTTCGATATATAGTTCCATGAAGTTAATCTGATTCGCAGCATTTTTTTGAGTTAAATTCGGAATGATCAAACTACTGGTTAAATAATCCAATTCTTTTATTTGCTGCAACGTATAGTGATTATCAATTTTAGGATTATTTAAACGTGATATTTCAAGTTTCAAGTGTAATGTAAATGCCTCCTTTAAAAACATCTTTAAAGAGTTAAAAATAGTTTGATCGTCAAATAATTCATCATCTCTAATAATGGCAAATTGCGTAAAAAAAATGTCTCTAAAAAAAGCATCAGAAATATATGAAGTTATTTCATCTTCATTTATCTCATTAGGGCTTGAAATGCTATTTAGATAAAAATTGGTCAATTAACTTAATATGAATAATAATGTAAATTTACATAATATCCAAAACAAACTTACTTTTTGATTTTCATATATTCTTCTGCATAGAAACTAAGATCATTATTAAAACGTGAATGGTGTTGAGCCATATATTCTAAACCACGTGCTTTTAAGAATTTTATGTTTTGGTTGTTTTTTCCTCGTTCAGGTAGTAGAATTTTTGCAACAGCCGCAACTGCAGCTGACCCAGGATTACGACTTCTAAGGAACATTATCTTCATTTCATCACACATATCAGAAACATTCTCACTAGAAACCTATATAAAATTATTTAATTAATACAACTAATAATTACAAAACATATATAAATATGCAAATATTATAACCTACTTCAATAGTTTCTTTATTACTAGCTGAATATTCACTTGCTATTGGTTCTACTGTTGAAATTTTAGGCGAGAATCTATAATCTTTATTTCTCTGCCAAGTGATGTTATCCTTTTGACTGTCATCATAATGACGTTTAATTCCTTGATAATTTTCAGATTTATTTAAATGTACCTGATTATTAACAGTTAAATCAATTGGATCATAATAACCATTGAAAGGTTGCTTAGTACTGTTAGATGATGATTTAAAATTTGGATCTTGTTGTTCTTTTTCAATAGATGATAAATCTAAGCGAAAATAGTCCTTCTTGGGTTGATCAGTTGGATTATTTTGTATATGGTCTTTAATTTTTTCTTTTGAAAGTAATGATTTAAGTGCACTTTTTAAATCATTGTTTTTGTTCTTTTTAGAGAGTAATGACATAAGAGCAGATTCAAGATCATCATCCGAATTATTTTGTTGTTGAGATTCTGGAACTTTATCATGATTGATAAGTATACTATCATCATCATTATCAGAAATCTCTTGGACCTGAGAAATATTCATGAAATTTTCTTTGGATGTTAAAACTTGTTCTTTTTCATTACTATTATCTTGAATAATACCCGATTTTATAGCTTTATTATAATAATTAAGATATTTATAAATTAATTTTTTTAAATGTAATTTTTAATAAATTTTAATTATACAAAAAAAAAAAAAAAAATAATAGCATCTGGCAACATATTAATTCATAAAGATAATATTAAATTATCTGATTTTGGATTATCAAAGAAAATAGAAGTAATATCTNAAAAAAAAAAAAAAAAAAATCACCAGCAGCTTTTCTTTTATTTCGGGTAATCCTAGGTGTTGCATTAGTTACTTTATTAGATGTTGATACTTGTTTCTTTCTTGGTGGAATCTTATAAAATTTAAGTTAAAAAAAGAATTATTTGTATAATAGCAATACTTTATATATAAATAGCAAGACCAATGAATAGTTATGTATTATTAAATAGACTAATAGTAAATAGGCTAATTAATATAAAAGATAGAAGTCAAAAATATGATAACCTATTTTATAAAACAAATGAAAAAAACTTTTTTACACGAAAAAAAAATGTCTGAATTATAAATAGGCTAATAGTAAATAGGCTAATTAATATAAAAAAAGTTATACTTATTTTGTAAAACAAACGAAAAAAATTTTTTTACACGAAAAATATGTCTGAATTATAAATAGACTAATAGTAAATAGGCTAATTAATATAAAAGAAGTTAAAAATATGATAACCTATTTTGTAAAACAAATGAAAAAATTTTTTATACGAAAAAATAATTTGTTAAAATTAAACTTATTGTATCTTGTAAAAAAAATTTATTGAAATAATACTTTTCTTTTTAAAAGAATTTTTTTGTTAAAAAAAAAATGGTCAAAGTTACGCGTAAAATAAATCAAGGAGCAACCTTGCGACAAGCAACACGTCTAAATATTAGCAAGAAAGTCAATCTCAGACAACCTCTTGCTAAAAATTATTCTAATCCTTATATAAATATAAATAAATTTTTCTTAAATCAAGGATTCAGACAAATTAATTCTACAAATATTAATTTAACTCCACAAAATATTGATACAACTCCAACTGAATTTATATTTTATTTGAACTTATAATATTATTTGTTTTTTACTTGACACTAGGTTTTTGGAAACATTTTGAGCTTACCAAATCTTCATATTCTTCGCCATTTACCTGAAATTGCGATCAATTTTGGAACATTAATTAATACAAATAAGAGAGTAATTTTACATACTAATAAAAAAGACATTTCAATGGATCTTTCAAGACGGGACAATACTCTTCAAACTGTGAGATATCTATTGGATGGTGGTTTAGATTCAAGGTACAATGAAGTTAATAATTTATTCACTAACATTGCATATGATACGAGTTTGTATAAATTATTTGATGGCTGGTATATCGGAACTTCTGTTAATACCAAGGAAGAAAATATTAATATTTCTGTATTTGATAATATTAATAATACTATAATTAAATTCTTATCGCAGTAGTTCAAAAAAATTTACAAAAATTCTTATATTTAATATAATTTAGAAATTTCATCTAATCATTCTAATTTTCAAAATATTCAAGTTCGTGGATTATGGAAATCATCTAAAATTCAAAATCAAGGTTTATCAGCCACTCTTTCAGCCGAAAATTTATTGACTGAATTCACACGAGTTTATAAGGAATTATATAATAATAATGGTATTATTATTCAGCGTCATATTAACTATTATGATTCTATTCAATTCATTGTACGTTCAAAAACTGATAGCTATACTAATATTATATTGCGAGTTGGTGAAGCAATTGATGTAGAAGATATTGATAGTCTTGGTGAACGATCTTATGCATTAATCAGAGCAATTATAACTCATAAAGATGATTATGGACGTATTAATCCCTTTCTCCTAGTCAATTGGTTCTATAAAAATGGTAATGTTGATCCTGCAACAGGCCTTCCCATTTACTGCTTGCAAGAAAGTGATGATAATTTATGGTTTCATCTTCACCCGTTAATAATTGTTGATCAGCAACCCAGAGTACACTTCGTACACAGATGTACAGGTCTTTGTTCAGAAGGATTACAGATGGTGATCAAAAGTATGCGGACATTTTTTAAAATAAAAATTTCATATAAAATAATATAATAAAAATAAAATTTATTAAGTAAATATATTAATCTGATTGTCCTTTATTAATTTTATGTAAAAAAAAATTATATATTAATAATTAATACTATATCCATTTGCAGCAATAACTGCCTCAATTCTCTGTGGCATGCTATCAATTAATTTTTTATAATATTCTGGAGGAATATCATCCCACGCATCTTTAACATATTTCTCAAGTACTTTGATATTAGATGGTGGTGGGTCACGTCGATGCACCATTGCTTTCATTTCTGCCCACATGTTCTCTATGGGGTTCAAATCGGGGCTTTGTGCTGGCCATTGAAGCACCACAATTTTGGCATCTTCACGGGTGGCCATAGCGACTTTTGAACGATGTGGTGGAGCATTGTCTTCTTGAAAAATTCCATTACCCTGTGGAAAATGCTCATCCAAAGTAGGTACAACATAGTTTTGAATAATTTTAGCATGAGTTTGACCTGTAACTGAGCCTTTTAACGGAACAATTGGTCCAAGCCCACGCCAGGAGAAACAACCCCAAAACATTCTGCTAGGACTGTGTTTAACGGTAACTGCAATACAATCAGGATTCAATTCTTCTCCTGGTTCACGCCAAACCCTTCCCTGACGACCTTTCTGAAATTGTGTAAAAGTGCTTTCATCTGAAAAAAGCACTCTTCTCCATTTTCTTGTTGTCCAATCTCTGTGTGCAAGAGCCCATTCAAGACGAGCCTGACGATGTGCTTCTGTCATTGCAGGTTTATGACGGGGAATACAGGCACTAAGTCCAACCTTTTTGAGGTTTCGGCGTATGGTACACACAGAAATAGGTTGCTTTTTACGAGCTGTCCAAACAGTTGCAAGCTTTTTTGAACAAAGTCGACGATTTTCACCATTTTCTTTAACAAAAGCTTTGAGTTCTTGTCGTGCTGGTGAGTCAAAGAGTGGAGGGCGACCTGATTTTTTTTTTGGTGTGAAAGAGCCAGTTTCACGAAAATGTTTAAGTACATCATAAACAGCAGTTTTACTACACCCCAAGTGTTCTGCAATTAAACGGCCCGATTGTCCACAATTATAACCATAAATAATCGCATATCGGGTTTTTGGGGTGAGTGGCTTCATATTTGGTGAATGTTTACTAAAAAAAAAACATTGGGGAGGTTTTTATTATGATATAAGGCGTTAAATGACGTATTGTTTATATTACGTCATCACGTGATGATCGGCATAATTTTGGCAAATTAAAATGTCCGTATACTTTTGATCACCATCTGTACATAATAAAACTAATATGGAGTATATTTTGAACGAATTTTATTATTTAATTATGTAATTATTGTGGCAAGATTATTTTATTAATATGATATATATTATAATATTAATAATAATATGTATGTTATTAATATAGAACATTGATATTATAATTATTTATAATATATCTATTGTAATGTAAAATAAAGTAAATAAAAAACTATATTAACATATATGTAAAATTCATGTTATAATACATATACGTATATATGTTATAAGTATAAAATATTGATATTGCAATTGTGTACAACATATCTATTGTAATGCAATGTCATAATCATATAAATAACTATATTAACATATTTGTAAAATTATGTCACAATACATATATGACATAGTGTTTTAATATATTTACCACTATAATAGCAGGTTGACGCTCATGAATTTTGTAACATACTTATAATAGGGTTTTTATATGGTTATCAAAAAAGTCTACATTGATAGTAAAGTAGGCATAAATAAAATACGTAGTTTACTCTTTTAATAAAAAACTAAGAACCTTTTCCATATCTCCATCAAATTCTTTCAAAGCCTTAAGATTTTCCTCTTTATTATTAAATCCCATTTTTTCAAAAATGCTTAATATTTCTTGATACTGTACTGAAATTACTTGACCTAATTCAGCAGGTAATGATCTTTGAACATTTTGGATTCCCTTCATAAAATAAAAATTTCAAATAAAAATAATGTACAAAATTTAACATAAGATAATTTATTGATACCTGGTAGTCCTCACTGTAATCCAAATTGTTGAAAGTTGTTTCAAGAGAGTTAATCGAATTTATAGATTTATTTCTAAAAGGAGGTGGAGCGGTTCTTTTTCTAAGAGGAGGTGGAGGAATTATTTCTTTACGCGATTGTATATCCAAATTGTTGAAAGTTGTTTCAAGAGAGTCAATCGAATTTATAGATTTCTTTCTAGAAGGAGGTGGAGCGGTTCTTTTTCTAAGAGGAGGTGGAGGAGTTATTTCTTTAGTCATGCGAGGATTTGATTTGTGACCTGGCGTGCTATTAGGATTTAAACTTAAAAAGGTTTTTAATAAATCCATATATAATTCCTCTGGTAGAACTTCCTTATAAGGTAGAATATGATCCGAAAATTCTTGAGAAGTTAAATTGTAGAATCTAATAAAAGGAATACATGATTGTAAAGTATTCTTTAAAGAATTAAATTCAACTTTTGAATAATTAGATGGATTTGAAGGGAGACCGGGATTTTGCGCAAGACCCCATTTAAGAACATTCTCCCATACTTGAATTTCATTCATTTGAAGATTATCGCTTTGAATAAGTGAGATCAAAATTTTTTCTGGAACTGAAGAGAAATCTAATGATTTAAGTATTTTATCTGGATATTTGGACATTAAATCAGTACAATACTTTTGAAGTTCCAAAAAAGAATTATTTTCAAAACTTGTTTGATATATTAAATTAAAATTTTGTTCCATCCACTTAGTTTTATTTTGAATCAAAAAGGATTGTATATGGGTAATTAATTCTTGAAGGTTTAGTTCATTGGCAGCAACCAGGATTTTAATAATATCCAAATTATCATAATCTATCAAAGATAGTTTCCCTCCATAAATATACCTAAATAAAAAAGATAAAAATTAAAATAATAAAAATTTATTTATTTAATAAATTTCAATTCTTTCTTACCATAAAATTAATTGAAAAATTTCTGGTGAAATATTTGGTAATTTAATGTGTACCAAAGTTCCATCATTTTTCTTTTTATTAGTTGACAAAATTCTTCTCAAATAAGAAGAACGATAATTTAAAATAACTATATGTGAACGAAATATTTTTACGTAAGGATCATTACCAACTTCAATAGTAATATCGTAATATTCGTCATCATCCAAAATTTCAAGTAAATTTTGTGATAATTTTTGTAATAATATATAATCCATTTTCTAAAATTACAATTGTAATAATTGTAATGAAGAAAAAAAAAAATTGAAAAATTGAGACAATGGCATTATAATGATGTAATGATGTACACAAATTTAACTGACATTGGAAAAGATTTTCCGTAAATAATAATCTTTATGTTTATGTAATGCAGGTGATATTTACGGGATGTGACAAATAAATATGAACACGGCAATCACGGTTAGACATCACAGGGTGGTGTTATAAGATAATTTCTTTTTTTTATAATTTATTTACTAACCATAAATGGTTTAAAGGTAACTATATTTGTAAATCAAAGATTTTTATGTTATCAATTAAAATTTTTCAATCGTGCAAAATATTGTTATATTCAAAATTTGTATAAAAAACTGCAAGACTCGTGGAACTCGATCAATAAAAAAAAAAAAAATAACGAATAAATGTTTTTAGATTTTTAGGATTAAAATCTTAGCCAAATTTATTACAGTACATTTTAATGTTTACTTTGTTTACAAAAAATAAATTTATTGTCAATATTTAATACATAATTTAAAGTCTACCAATAAAAAAAAATTACAAATGAATTTGTAAAATTCCCAAAAAAAAATATTATGGGATCTACATTAACTTAATTAACCATATCTATGAACGAATTTATTTTTAAAATTTTTTCCTTTCATATGAGACGAAGTATAATTATCATGAAATTTTATTGTACTCTTTTTCTTTTCAGATTTAATGAATTGATTTCTTTTTGGCTCATCAGGACTTTGAATACTGGTATTATTACGCCGGATGGGAATAAATTGAGGAATAAATGATAGAGATGGTAGTTCTACTGGTTCTAGCATTGATATTGGTGGCCAAAAATTCAATGATGGTACATATGGTGTATCCGCTTTATCTTTTGAAATACGTTGTTTACTATATTCCATTATGGAATTGAATGTATGTTTTCTATCATTTAACCAAGATTGTAAATTTTCTTTTGGTAAATTACAATATTTTGAATATATAAGATCAATTTGTTTTTCCCAATAAAGTATTTCATTATCAAAAAAACCAACATGATGGCGGTAGGGTATAATATCAAGGAATTCTTGTGAATATTTAGTTTTGATAATATCTTTTCTAATTAAAAATAGAAGTTATTAGTTATATAATAAATAAAATTATAATGAATATTAAAATATTATTTTAAAACTTACGAAATTGTATTTACTGTAAAACAACTTTTACAGCATCTAACTTCAAATTCCCAATAAATTTTACATTCTTTATTCTTCTTACAAATTTGACAACCTCTTTCTGTCATTAATAATAAAACATATTTTTCTTCGTTCATTCCTTCCGGGGGAGGCATATCTTCTTTTGATATAAATTGTAAACGAGATTCCTTCCATATTTGTTGAGTAGTAGAAGAGTTTGGAGCACATAAATATCCACGAAATTTACGACATACTTGAGAGAGTGAGAGTAAATCAGCTGGTGATAAAAAAGTACAAAATTTTGCAAAAAGTTCAGGAGGAAGATTTATTATGGTTAACATATTTAAACTTTTTTATTTTTTATTCTGTCTTTATTTATACTTTATATTTTCGTCAAACAATATTATTTTGCTTAGTAATACGATTTCTATTAGGAAAACGCCAATGATGATCATTTATCGGATTTTTTCATTCCGCACATAAAAATTTTTTTTCATGGCATGATCTGCAAAATGATGAAACATTAGCGGTTAGGTCATCGAATTTATGTAATTTGTTTGTAACAAAAAAGTAAAAATAGAATGATTCTCATAACTAGTTAAAAATTTAGTTTAAATAGGAATCGATCACTTGACCAAAATTTTTAAAGATAAAAGGATTGAGAAATAGACGAATTTTCGGAGAAATACCGGAATTTTTTAGGACATAAGTCGAAATATCAGATTAAATGCAGATTGTTAAAAGTTAGTGAGGAAATAGCATATGATTTATATCGGGAAAAACCTTCCAACTATAAGAAAAAATTCTGATCTTCAGAATTGGTTGCAACAAGCGCATTTAGCGCAGCACAACATGAGGTAGATTTATTTTAAGAAAAAAGGGAAGTGAACACAAAAGGAACAAATCGATTAACCAAAAATAGGAAGTTTACGGTAAGATTTAGAAAAGTCAGAAGTAGATCATTATATAAAGATCTGCAAAACGGGAACGTATATCGAAAAAGAAATATAAAACATGAGATTATCGATTGCTCAATAAAGATCAACTGTACAACTATGATAAAAATATAATGACAAGCGTTACATATAAATACGTGATACATTATTTTATGATACACAGAAGAACATTGAAATCGTATCGGAATTATAAATTTTATGATAAAATATCGAACTTTAAGGGCGAAATTAATCCCAAAGTTGAAGTAGTTTTACGGCTCAAATATGATGATTTTACATATCTGATATATTTGAGTAGATACAATGAAATGTAATTCTATGTAGAATGATAATGGAGTCTATTTTATTAATTGTTAGAAAGATAAAAATAAATTAAACATTAAGATGGCGCCCTAAATACAGAATGGAATTTTTCATTAAAGTTAACAAAAAACAAATAGTGATTGCATATTCAAAATGAAAAGGATAAAGGATTAAAGGAAAATGACAAAGTCAATGAAAAAAGATTTAAATAAAGTTTGAAAAGTTGGATAAGCGCTCATTAAAGAAAAAGAAAGCTAAATTCAATTTTTACCATCGAGTGACGGCCTACCAATTTAAACGATCATATAACATTGATGATAAATAGTCAAAGAAACTTTTCTAATGTTCACGCGATCGAGCCAGATATTATGACTTTTACATTTAGACTTTTGATACTTCTTTTCGATTTTCTTCAAGTCCATTGCCTTAAAATTATTTTAGTAGGAATTTACGTTATATAAAGTAATTTTATTATAGTTTTATCAAAAATGTGATTCTTTTTAACAGAATTCAAATGAAAATGCTTTGTAAGCAGTATGATTTATAATGATTAGTGATTGAATTACTCCTGGTCTGTTCTCTAACAAAAGAAAAAAAAATTAAATTAGCATTCACGGCATCATGATACTGAATAACAATAATAATATATAGTTAAATTCAAATATAAAATTATACTGTAATAATGAGAACTTGCGATTTTAACTTGCATCATTAACAAGTTAACACAATTCACATGATAAAATTTATAGTTTTTTATATTTATTTAAACAAAAGAAAAACATTCCTCTATAAAATGGTTGAACAAAAATTCAATAATCAAATTATTCATTTTTTAATAACTTGAAAAACTTCATAATCCTCTACGCCAAAAATATTATAAATACCCGAATTATAAATTTGTGGTATATCAACTTTAGAATAAGCATAAAAGCCTGGATAGTTTTTCCAGTTACCATCACTATCTCGAAATAAATCATGACCGTTGCCGAACGTTGGTCCATAATTTTGAACACAATATATAGCAACTTTATCACGGCCTTCTAGAATATAACCCACTTTTGCAGTGTTAAAATCATTTTTATTTGTAAATGAAAATAAAAAACTATCTCCTGTAGACTTCCATGTATCACTTGAATCCCATTGAAGTGGATTATAACCTCCCAAAATTTGTTCCGAATTTGGAATTTTTAATATAACAATAGTAGCTCCTTTATTATCACATCTAGCATGAAAGTCTGCTGGTGTATTACCATCTCTAATAGCACGATAAAGTAAATTGAAATTATAAGGAATGTTTCTTTCATTATAATAAGAAGCATCTTTTTTTTCAATCCAACTAGAAAAAATAGCAAAATGTTGTGGTCCAATTATAACAGAACCATATACATTTTTTGACTTTCTAGGAGGCTGAATATTAAGACTAGATTTCTTACTTGGCGCCATATAAAATGCAAATATATTATCAAGTATATCCTCAGGTATTAATATTTTAAAAGGATATACTTTTAAGAAAAAATCTTCCGATTCTATATAGTAAAATCTAATTAAAGGAATAAATTTATGAAGAGTTCTTTCCATAATTGTGATTTCATCTTTATTCCATGTCTTAATATCTTGCTGAATAGAAGGATGCTGAGCCAAACTCCATTTGATCAAGCTATCCCATATATCAATTTCGTCCAATGATAAATCATCCCTTTTTAAAAGTAATTCTAATAAAGGTGCTTTTAAATTAGTAAACTTGTCAGATTTAAACAACGTATCTGGTTTAGCACAAATTTCTTCAAGATAATAATTCCATAAATTTGAGAAGCTTTCATGTTGGTAGACAATTTCAAGAATTTCTAAAGGGTTTTGTTGTAAAAACTCGTGTTGATGCTTAACCAAGTATTCTTGAATACAATGATTTAATGATTGGATTTTAAGTTCATCCACCGTTATCAAAAGTTTTAGGATATCTTGCCCCTGTAATTTCTCCAAATCGATCTTTCCACAATAAATAAATCTAATATTAAAAAAAAAAAAATACAACAGTATAAGTTATCGTGAAAGTGATTTTATAATGCGCAGTTCGGATGATATTCTAACATCCCTATCCAATAACTAGTATTTCAATATTTATTTTTCCATTACCTTAAAATAATTTTAAAAAATTGGGGAGAAATATTAGGAAAATTAAAAACATATTTTCCATCCTTCTTCTCAGACCACTCCTTAGAAAATGCCGTACGAAAATATTGAGACCTGATACGTAATAAAATTGAATGTGCATGAATTTCTTTCATATTTTCATTTTCACCAGCATAGATAATAACATTATATTCTTCTTCAGCTTCAAGTAATTTTTCCAACTCATTGGCTATTTCTTGAGAATATTCGAAAGCCATTTTTTAAGAAAAAGAAATTTGTATTACAACAATTGTACTCACAAAATTTGATCGACCTATATATACTCTTACAATGACAAATCACATGATAAAAATGTGGAAATTCGCACGTGATTAATTTTCTTCCGAATTCTACGTTTGATGGCGTCATGTCGGATGTCCAATTATTCTGCTCATCCCAGAAACTGAACCTATGTTCCTTAGATAACAGATTTTGTAATTTAACCACTACTTCGGACTTAATAACGGTTTCCGTTTTCCTAGTCAATATTATTTTTATAATTTCTAACTTTTAAACAAATTCTAAAACAAATTAAACTAAGATTACTTATATTGTAATTTCCACTTGATACATACAAAGTATAATATATTTTAGATAGACATCATAGTCGTAAGCGTAGGACACTTATGTCCAATTTTGGATTTTTGTTTGTCCGCACTCATTTAAATACCAATATATTGTGTGACAATAAGTATCATATTATGTGATTTTGTTTACATCATGCACGCGTGTTAATACTTTTTATTGTACATTAATGATGTGGTTATTTATAACGCTTCAGAAGCTCCAACAGTTTTTGTTACCTAGTCTATATCTCATATAACTGTTATCAAATATAGATTTAAAATGAAAAAATTCATGATAACTTTATTTCCTTTTCGCACATGAACGACGTGCTACATGTCTATGCAGGCAGTTCGTCATTTGTATTGATCATTTGATCCGCTGTCCGTGGGTACGTTTCCAGCGCATTCGTGTTCTGTTGTCTGGTTTTCACTATAGTCAATTGACGCAAGACTAAGTGTCTATGCAAACTGCAAGCATTCGTCATTTGTACTGATCATTTGATCAGCTGTCCGTGAGTACGTCTCCAGCAGATTTGCACATTTTTGAGAGCCAGCTTTTATGTTTCCACTCTTTTTTTCCAAAATAGTTAAAGAAATTTTCTAAGGAAAGCTTAGCACATGTTTGATCTTGGTATTATAAATGGGACACAAATCATTATGGGTAAGAAAACATTTTCTTGCTAGGTACTAAGTGTAGGGAAATTTTATAAATGTAAAGAGATTGTATCTTAGCATGATGAGTATCAAACATTGGGAAAGAATTGCTATTGCCTTTTCTTTATTATTTTATTGCTAACATTCTTGATCAGGAATTTTTTTCACGAAGGTATTGATCACTGGATTCAAGGTTCAAGCACATAACTTATTAGATTTATCAATAATAAGATTAGCAGTCAGAAATAAATCTGTGTGGATCGCTTCCTTGGATATGCAACCAAATCGATCAAGGTAAATCTATATAAAATAATTTGAAAATTCATTGCTGACAACGGCTAGTAGTGCACAGTAAGCCACTTCACTTGCTCACATTGATATTTATTTAATAAACATTTGAGATGAAAGTTCCATTATATAGTTAATTATCCAAAGTGAAGTGTAGGAAATTATACTTTAGGAATTAGGTTAAAAAATCGATCAGTCATGTGAGTCTTTTCATTTGTTACGCTGCGTCATTTCTGATTGGAAAAATGTCCCTGATCATTCCATTTCCTAGTGTTTAATAAATAGAAGGACCATTTGATTTATTTTACACTCAATCTTAACAGTTTATGCATTACTGTATTGATCTACAGTATGTAAATTTTTATTTGAAAAGATAATGTTTATAAATGTATTTATTCTTAAATTTTTCTTTTCATGCCAGACCTATTCTATTTATTTTAAAATTCCTGATTTCTTTTTGACTTGTTAGTTTAGTTTCATTCTAAGTTTTTAATATTGCATTGGTAAATAACATCATTATTAAATCGTGATGGTAACCATTACTCCATTTACATTTTTAAATTCATTCCATACCATTGAATACTAATACATTACTTAAAATATTAGTGATCTTGATGGTAATGGTGGTATGATTTTATAAAATTTGAAGTCAAAATCAATAAAGTTATTTTGGTAACATATTACCTGTATATATGTTGTGCATCAGATGCCGATTTGCGTCAGCTGACAGCTGATGTACATCAGGTGATGGCTGGCCTATTAATGCTGGCCAACCCACTTAAGGCATTATAATATTGGACGATATTGGGCCGATAATGTAGGCCAGCGTCATCTGATGCAAATTGGCATCTGACGCACAACATATATATGTAATAAAAATCATTTTAAGTCATTGGAATTGGTCTTTAAAAATCAATACAAACAATTATGCATAACTCAATTTTCTTGTGAATATGGACAATCTGGAGACTACGTACTAATGAAACCTTTGGTTTGAAGCTAGTTTATTTCTTCTATATTTATGAATAGCTTATTAAAGCTGAATCACTAATTGGATAGATAACAAATGGACTAAAAGACTTTCCATCATTTACTTTAATGACAATTCAATAAACTCAAAAAAATTGCAAGTATCAGTACTAATGTTAAAATCAAAGTAAAAGTGCATCAGAATCATCAGTACAAATAATGGTCAACTTGAATGTTGAATATTTTTGAGGTTCTGGAATTGTTTTCACATATCTTGCTACTAAATAATGTTTAAATAATAAATTTTATTATGACTTATTTTAGTGTACTTTTTCATAAATAATTAAAGTTTTATTATTATTAAACTGAATAATGTTAATTGTAGTTATTTTGTAAAGATGCATAAAATAATTTTTTGAATATCATTATTAGTATATTGCTAATTAAGAATATAGAATAAAATATAAATGGCTCATTAGGCTATCATAAATGCCTGCATTCAAAAAAAAATACTAGTATCACCATATTACAAGTTTTTGGAACTATTGTACTCTTCTACCTGCTATATTACTGATTTTCCTTTCATAATCAATGATTTTCTTAGACTATAGTGAGCATAATAAATATTTGTCATTTAGTTATATCTCTGAATCACGTTTTCTGAGTTACACTAATCATCAATTTCTGGCTATAAATATTTCAGAATACACATAAATTCTAAACATTTTAATAACCAATCATTATAATTAAAATTTAGCTCTAATATATGGGCTACTGGTAAAGTTTTGATTATTAATAAAACTGTAATGAGTTTGCCAAAACTCGTCTGAGAGTTCCTGATGGAACCTCTCATCATGTAAAGTCAGGTATGGGTTTGTAAAATAGTGATTATTTACATTATGATAATGTACCTTTTCATTATTTAGTCATATGATTCACGAAAGATACTAATAGTTCATAAATTTGACTTTCAAATATGTTACTCCTTCTATATACTTGTATTTGTCAAGTAAACTGAATGCTCACTTGACTCACCTAACTAATTGAAATTTGTTGCATCAGAATAGATAATTATTGCAACATTTCTTTTTGATATTTGTATTTATTAAAAATTTTTTAATCTGATATTAATAATAATTCTCAGATCATAAATATAAATAATTAAAACAATAACTAATATCATAAATTATTATAAATTAGCTTATTAAGCTTATAAGTTGATACTAATAATTATGTATTATATTTCAATATATGATGAATATCTTATTATTATATATATCTATTCTTTTTATAATTAAATTATTTTATGCAGACTATATATGCAATCTCAAATTCATTGGACATGCCTTGAAATCATTTGCAGTATATGTTAATGTGCATGTAGTCTTTATTAATAATTTCTAATAATAAATTCTAAAATATTCTTGAAAATGATAATAGGAATAGGATATATACTCAGATAAGGTGGGTGTTTAATATTTAAAAATAAATAAAGCATGATACTTTTTTCTGTAATATATAACTAACTATTTGATATGTATTTTAATTAAGTATTATACATTTACAAATTGTTGATATTTTAATTTTATTTTTATATAAAATTTGGCATTTTTAAAAATAATTAAAAGATTTTATAAAATCAAATGAATTTAATTATGTGAAATCTAATCCAACCATTTATAGTTGGCAAGTATCATTTATATCTTGTCAATACCTTTTAATTAAACATTTGTATAAAGATTTTCAAAAATATTAAAAATAAATCTTATTATAAAATATTTTTTTTAAAAAAATTTGTTTTAAATTTAATAAAAATTATCTACTTTTCTTTCTTTTCATATTTAATTATGAAAGTAAATTATAGTAAAATAGTAAATATTATCAAATTTGAATAATATTTAACTAATAATTTCATGTTATTGAGGTCTAGTTATGTTACAAATATAATGCCAAATATTTATTCAAATAACATCTATCCAAAAAGTCATTTACAACTTCTTTTATCTTTGAATAAATAGAAATGTATGTCTATATAATTTGTACCTATTTTAGGACTTAATGACATCAGATATTTATGTTTATAGTTTTATAATCAGTTGATATGTAAACTATAATTATTTAAGATGTATTGATAGACAAAAGATTCTTTTGTAAATAAAACTAGCCCGTTTAAGTACTCAAGAGTACATTCAATTTATGTCCCAAAGTAGACATCATAATCAAAAAAAATGGATGCAGACAGATTAGATCTATTAATAGCCAACCAAGAAAGTGTATGAAGTATAATTAACTTGTATATAAAAATAATCCTGCTTTTCTTATTAGAAAAATGTACTGTCAGTATGCTGTCCTATGGGACTTATTTATATTCCAATTTGATAATCTCTTAATTCTTTCTATTGGGTTATTTATTATTACAAATTTAAACTATAAAATATTTTTTAATTATGAAATACAAATGAAATTTATTATATAATTAAAAAATATTTTTAGTTTAAATTTGTAATAATAAATAACCCAATAGAAAGAATTAAGAGATTATCAAATTGGAATATAAATAAGTCACATAGGAGTGAATATATAATATTAAAAAATAATATAATAGATGTATTTTTGCCTGCTCTGCAAGTTTACTTCAAGAATATGTTACTATAAATGATTATTCATTGTTATTAATAATCAAATTATATAATATATATTAAAGTTAAAATCCATAAAAAATTAGTTTTGGCATTTTATCTTTTAATTATGAATGACTAAATTAGTTTCAATTTCATAAAATGACTAAATATTTAGGGTTTCACCCACATCACTAGATACAATTAAGAATAATTTATTCATTAGGTAAAAGTACTTTATAGAATGAGCAGTTAATGTAGTTGAAAAACTTCATAAGAAATAAATACAAGAAAGCCTTCAAATTTTGCTGGTAAATGTACAGAAGCTTCTTCCAGTTGATCCATAAAGACAATTATAGCTTCTTTATCATCTACCAATGCCTCACACACATATGAAAAAGAAAATTTCTTAAATTGCATCCGAAAATTATTTTTAACCTTGTCAAAAAATTTGGAGCGGTAAGGATCTAATATTGGGTATAATTTGCGTCTACCAAGTTCTTTTGCTTCATTGTTTTTAATATGTATTATAATGTGTTAATGAAGATAATTTTATTTGTTAATATTTCAAATATTTTAAAATACTAACCTGTGTTGTCTTTTACATACTGGTTTTTTAACTCAGTAATGCTTCCTTTAATTACATCCTTATCTTTGATAGAAAACCAATCATAAGGATTTTCAGTAGACAGCAAAATATCTTTAAAGTGGATATCTGAATGGAGAATATACAGTTCAAGATCAATTAAACTATTGCATAACATTTCCATATTTTCAGCAGAAGTGAGAACAACAAGAAACTTCTTTTCGTAGATATCTTTAATCTAACCCAAAAAAAAATTATATTCAGCAAAATCTAGAAAAGCTTGTCATAATGGTTTACAATAATAGCAGTAAATAAATAATACAAACTTTGCATTCTAGAAAAGCTTGTCATAATGGTTTACAATAATAGCAGTAAATAAATAATACAAACTTTGCACTCATATGTAAACTTTACATCTTTATAAATTCTATTGTATAACAATATATTCCCTTGTTCAATATATTTTTCATCATAAAGTTGTTTTAGCGAAATATCAACCATGATTACAAATTTTGAATTTTGTGTTGCTTGTAGACAAGCAATGTGAAATAGTAATGAAGGAAAGGCAGTAATGAAGAAAAGGAAAAAAGGTAAAGATTCTGATGATTTATTAAAAATTTTATCAGTAGATTGATTAGGAAATTGGGCCTTAATCAGACTTTTTATATATTTTCCCTTACACAAACTTTTATGCAAATTGTGTAAGATACTGCAATATTGTATCAATATTAATTATTATTAAAATTAACAGATTTATTTTAATAAGAATATGAATAATTGTATTAGAAACATAAAGAACATAAAGTTAAAATATTGTATAAGATTACTCAAGTGGCTCAGTTCAGGTTTCAAATCAACTTGAATCCAGTTCAAACTCATCTATAAAAATTTTAAAGACCAGCTAAAATTGTATCATTTATGCATATAATTTTAACTGTTATACAAAATTTAATAAATACTAATATTTATTAGTCATAATAGCATTATTAATTACAGGATATTATGGTTTACATCAGAAGTTATTGATATTTCTATTCTTACATGCTTGTATTATGATCAAACAATAGATATCAATAAATCACTATTAGTAATAATGAGTCATACTCTACAAATACAATAAGTCATTACTATTTCTGTAAATTTGTGTAATAAAATGAGTCCATAATGAAATGAATCCAAAATCTCTAAGAATTACTAACCAAATTTTATCTTGTTTAAGCCTAATATCATGCATAAATTGATAAACTCATCAAATTTAAGGAATTTAAGGTTAATACAGATTTATTTCTAAATTGATTATTAGTAAATAGTAATATTGAATGATCAGCATAAAAATAAAATTATATTTTTATATAGAATGCAACATATGATATTTTATTACTTTGATTAATTTCTCTTAGAACTTCGATTCTAACACGCTTAACTAAAATATTTTCAATATATGTATTTTAATCATAAAATGTTATGGTAAAACATACTTATCAATGAAAACATTATTAGGATACACCTTATTAAATTATTCAAAAAGTTATGTCTGTAGGTTTAAATTGTTGCAATATCATGTGAATGTGACTTATATTCAGATTTAAATCACCTTATTTTATTAATAGAGTATTTATATAAATATCCTTCTATTTGAATAAACATAAGAAATGTACACGAAATATTTAAAATTCAATAGAATGCATTGTGGTACTTTTATATTACTTATCTCATATTCATTACATCCAAAAACTATTGTGTAATATATGTCCAAGTATATATATTATTATCAGTTATATCATTAATATAACATGATAAACATTTTTTGCAATATTTTTGATTATGACAAAGAAGTATTTTTCTTCACAATAAATACAATTTGTATCAAATTCATTAAAAGAAATAAATTTAAGAGACAGATCGTCATTCAACAGGAGAAAATGATCGACATTCTATAATTAATTTTATGGGCTTTGTAATTAATAAAAAAAAATTTTTTGGAATTTCTTGTTCTTTACTATAAATTTTTTCCAATAAGTGAAAAAAAACAGTATACAATAACTTTCATGTCCAAAAAAAATATTGCACTATAGGTATACATATGTAGTTTTAGTAGAAACTGTACAAGTTTAACAAAGAATGTGAATATTAAAAAGATTCAAATAAAGCTAAATAAAGATTTAAAAACTAAATAAAAAACCAAATATAGCTTAGTTATAGTGAAAAATGTTCAAAAATTTTTCATCCAATATTTGGGTTAATAGGAAATTTACAGTCAGAATCTTGCGTTAATACATAGAAAAGTCAAAGAAGAGAAAATCTAGCGATTTCAAACTTTGCAAGTGGCTTAGCTAGGATTGTCACTATAAATTACCGTCTTTAAAATTTGTGTATCATATCACATGATGATATGACAATCCGGTAAAAAAGGAGTATTAGCCATTTTTAGCGATAATTTGCGTAAATCGGCATTATTAAAATTCTCTGGTTGAGTGGCGATTTGTCCCTTAATTGGTATTGGACTAGATTTTAATATTGGTGTTAGGTCAAAAAATTTTTCATTATTTGTATTTACAAGTTCCATTATATTATATTAATTAATTAAGAATCGATAACAATAATAAATTTGGAAATTTTAAAAATGTATTTTATTTATATTATTATACTTTTTATTTTTATATTTTTATTTATATCTGAATGATACAGTTTGAAAAGATAGAACTTCTGTAAGTGACACAGAAATATTACAGAATTTAGAAAGTTCATTTTAAATTTAGGAGTACTTTATTGAAGGCAAATGGAGTTTGGAACCTGTTAAGGTTAACCAGTTAATTAACCGGTTAAGATGGTTAAGTGGTTAAGACATCTATTACAAAATATAGTGGACACTTGAAAATTGTTATTGTTAGGATTGTCAGGTCGGCTAGTCAGGTTATTAGAAAAGATATATAACATGTGACATATATATATATATAACTGATAATGTAATCATGTTCACAGGTTGGATATACTTTAATTAAATTTATTATACTTTATACTACATCATAATATTTAGGGAAACTCTTTCCCCTTTTTTTATTTTTGTTAGTTTTCTGCAGTAAATAGCACACAGTAATTTTTTATAGTTTTTTAAGAAAACTTCAAAGGGGAAGAGGCCCTTAGTCACAATACTAGGTTTTTGTTCTTATTCTAACCCATACACTAGGGATATGACTTCTTCAAACCACATCAAAATAGATTTTTTCTCAGTTTTATACGAATCTTTTAAACCATATAGATAGTTGGACTCTCCATCCGATATCATATATACTAGCGAAGACGGACTTGCTGAAAATATAGTTTTGGATACAAATACACAACCACAGGATAATATATTATCGACTACTACAGTCAACACTCCTTTACCACTACCTCCACCTTTAACTTCATTTTCTTTCTTGGTCTTTTTTGAAAAATTTCACATGACCGCTGCATCCAAAGCAGGTTATAACAAGATCTATGAATTTAGGCGTTCAAAAAGTTTCTTTTTTGAGGTTGTCAATCAAATTCCAGACGCCAATGAAATTCATCTCAAGATTTACACGAATGATTATTATATGTTAAGTTGTTAACTACTCCGATTTGGTACTATTCAACAAGCAAATTACCTAATCATTGATTTCAAATATCGAAATGCCTCACGCACTTTTTTTTGAAACAAAAAGTCATTCCTTGGTGTATTCAGAATAAATATTTTAATTTAATACGCACCAAATTATTGGATAGAATTAATTATATCACATCACGTGATCAAAAAATCATTTTCTCTAACAACACAACAAAGACTTTTTTTAATTTCTCTTACAAAAGATACAGATTTCATTTTGGTATCTATGTTGCATGTAATCACCCATGCTTGGACAGCTTTCCTTAAGTGAAGAATCACAGATGTGCTATTTCTTATCTTTTTGTCAGAAATTATAATAGACATACTTGTATACAACATCACTCACAAATAATCCATAATTTGGATCCCGCTTCTGAATACAATCGGCATCACCGTGTCCCTCTTCAAGTCACATCTCACAAAAGCATTCATGCTAATATCACTCATGAATCTTACATCAAAATGACAAAAAAACATATTTTTTTGAATAGATTGAGTGTTCATTATAATTCACGCATCATCACATGTGACCTTTCATCAATCATAACTCCAAATGAGTTTAAAGGAAATATGTATATGAAAAAATATAGTGAGTTTACAATGAATCTAAGTTTCAATTCTCAAACCTCTTCAAGACAACTGACTCGATTTCAATGAGCCACTTGGCAGATCTATAATAAACAAAAGCATTCCTCAATGAAGATTCATGTCAATTTGATATAGATTTCTTACTACATTGACATGCATTTACGCTCTAGGATTCAACATTTAAGTTTTAATAGTTCTCTAATCAAACCTGTACCTACAGTTCCTCTATTCCGTTTTCCATATGATCAGATTAGCAAATTACAGTCAAACCTTGATATAACGAACCCTTGATATAGTGAATTTTTCAGACAACTATAATAAATTTCACCTTGCTATAAAGAATTAACCAATCAAATCTCTTAAAATCTTCACTATAGCCCTATAGCGAAGTTGAGGTCTGGAACTTAGGGTTCGTTATAACAAGGGTTGACTGTACATAATCCTATGGCAATATCTATGACACCTCTTGCGAATGAATCGAATATTCAACAGGCTTTATCATCAGAATCACCCAAATTAAGGGTGACCACTTTGGGGAAAAAGTATAAACGTTCAACTTTATAGCATGATCGATTAGCTATTATCGATCAGGAAACTTATAATGATTACATAAGTCAGGCTTGTGACACAAATACGTCAATACAATATTATTCTCGTCGACAGGAATTGATACGTTATTATATGGATTTTAATAAATATTACCACAAGACTTTTTTTGGTACCGCTTTAGTACAGACAATGGTATTTTCTATGATAAGGATCTAGAAGAATTTATAGAGGATTTCAATCTTTTCACAAATACCTTTCCTGATAAATTCAAGGACTAACATCATCCCGTGAAATCTACCCATCTGATTTGGAATAATCGCAAGTTAGAATTTATTCCCAATAATATGGGAGAGACTTCCAATAATACTAAAAGTCTAAAACTTTGGAACTTCGTCCAAGAAAAGACGTTCAAAAATTAATCATTATTTTAATGATGGTGACTATTCACATGTTACAAAAAAATTATGTTTTTATGACTTTAGAGAATGTAAATTAGGGATATTTTACCCAAAAATATTTTCATTTTTTTTCAAATTCAAATGTCAGATGATTAATTGTTTCTTTTTTTAGCTATAATTTTAGTTAGAGATTTACACATTTAGACTGTTTCCTTTTGTACTATGGTGCTAAATACTTTTATTTGTTAATTATCCTTCTTTTGAAATAAAATAAATAAAAACATAATAAGTCAATCATTTTATTATCAATTTACCCCTAGTTTTTGCCACGTATTGCCAAGACTCTTCCGATTGATTAAAAAAAGAGAACTTTATACTTTTGAACATGGAAAGTTGTTGGAGCCTGGAAATGTAGTTTTAGCGAGAGAAAGATTGCTGAAGCTTTAGACCATTCCTGAACTACTGTTCATGATGTTATTTCTGGTTACAGAAAGCATGGATATAAAGTTCCACCTAGACCTAGCAGACCACCAATTTTGACTGAAAGAGACATTCAGCATTTAACAAACATTCTTAAAAGAGATAGAAAAGTAAACTTTGGAGAACTACGTGAAGATTTTGTTAATTCAACTACAAAAAATGTCTGTAAAAAAACTTTAAGTAAGTACCTTCATGAACAAGCAAGGTTTCTATAGTCGAGTTGGTGTTAAAAAGCCATTTGCAAGTGAGAAAATAGGATAAAAAGGCTTATCTGGGGTAGAGATCAAAGAGAATGGACAGGTGAATGGGAAAGTGTGATCTGAAGTGATGAATCCAAGTTTAAATTGTTCAGATGAAATGGCAAAAGATTGGTTTGGAGGCAGCCTCATGAAAAGTATGATGTGAATTGTTTAATTCCTACTGTAAAGTCAGGTCAATAAGGAGTGATGCTTCACAAAATATAACCTTGGTCCATCAGAAAATTAGATGGAAAAGTAATAGTCACAGTGTATGTAGATATATTGAAAAATTACTTTTTACCATTTCTAGATGACTTGGATGACCAGGAAAACTATTTATTTCAAGAAGACAATGTGCCTATGCACACTGCAAGAATAGTTAAAAGCTGGAAAGAAGAAAATGAGGTTGATAGTATTCCTTGGCCTATACAGAGTCCAGATCTGAGCACAATTGGACGAACTAGAGAGATGGGTTTGGGCACACATCCCATTACTAAAAAATGAGGAAGATTTATGGGAAATACTTCAAGAAGAATGGTTAAATATAGATATTGATAAATATCAAAATCTTGTTAATAGTATGCCCATCAAATTGCTGCTGTTATAAAAAGCTAAAGTCATCCAATGAAATATTAGTTAAAAGTTGTAGCCTTTATCTTTTAAATAAAAAATAAAATTATTAAACTTGGTGCAGTAATTATCACATTATTTAAATTTAAAACTTTGCATTAAAATCGATCAGTATCATGTGGCCGGTGATTTATTTCTGCGTACTGTACAATCAGACACGAATAAAGAATTATATACAAACCAAGTATTTCTTATATTAAAACCAAGAATGAATGCTCACAAACACTGCAATGAAGCAGAGCGTTATTTATAATAAATCTATTACATATTTTAATATAACAAAAATATCATAACAAATAAAATAAACATTAACATTCGTGACATTGGTGACATATTTTTATTTTTATTTTTATTTTTAAGATATAGACTCGACTGGAGTCGAACGCTAAATAGGAATAAACATGGTCTAAAAGATCAATAAATTCTAAGCTAGTGTTTTACCCAACCTCTCAGGAGAAGCCCGAAGGGGTCGTCTTGCCCATTATTCTATAGAACAATCAAGCATAACCTGGAGTCTAAAACAACCGAAACATAAAAAAGAAACAGCCCGTATTTTTCTTTTCACCCACCAGGGTGACCACCTGTAAATACTGTCAGAGGTGGAATGGTTCACACTATTTTTAATTGTTCTAAATTAGTTAAACTTCTTTTTACGCTAATAAGGGGTAAGGTTGATTAGTGTAAAATGAAGGAAAAAGGACTATTAAAGTTTTGGACTCATTACAAATGTTTACATAAAATAGGTTAAAATTAACAAAATCTAAGATTTGTTCAAACTAGAAACAGGGGAGTCAATAGGGTAACCCATATCCAGTCGTAGACGTTTAATTTGGTCTCTGTGAAGATAATGATCGTAGATGTTAGTAAGTGTGTCCCGTTTCTTGGGACGAACTTCGAGGCTTTTGGTATCGTCAGAAGTGTCATTATAAGCGATGTCCTCGAGGTGTGGGAGCATGTATCTTTTTGGGAGGGAGTCAAAATAAGTAACGTAACGTCTTTGTTCACGCTGATAACGATTGTTTGAACAGTTGCCGGTTGCATAGTTCATGAACCGGTCATGCACTGTTTGTAGTTTGGTAAGGTGGGTCGTAGTGTCTAGACGACGTTGAAGGTGTTTGGTGCTAGTGCCGTGATAAAGGTGTAAAGTTGCATCACGTTTGGCCTTAGTTAGCCGACGTTGAAATTCTTTAGGCTTGAGTTTAGTACGCCTATTAGACTGTAATTCCAGTAACTCGGCCACATGGTCGGGTTGTTGTCTTGATACGTAGGAGTCTTTAACAACTCGTAACCATCCATCAGAATCAGGTGGTAAATAACGTCCGTATACATCGTAGATGGGAGATCTAGGGACGAAAGGTGTAAATTGATCACCTAAGGACTTTCCAAACGGGTTGTAATTTTCCACTGTCGCAATCATCTCGTGCGCAGGATGTGGTGAAAAAGTAATAGTATCGTTTGACGTCAAATTGTCTGTAGAGTTGTTGAAGTTAAAATCATTCATCGAGATTTCTGATGAATTTAATTTAAGTTGGGGTGCATTTATAGGAACATCAACGTGGAATACGCTGGAGAACGCAATCTTGGGTTCGTCTAATAAGAGGTCTTCTTTAGGGGCCGGAGGTCCACCAATCGGTTCGTAAAACGGAATGTAAAATGGGTAAGCATCAGCATCAGGAATTGCTGATTTCCGTGAGTAAGTAAGATGTGAGAGGGTTTTGTGAATAGTTTGACTTTTGTGAAAAAGAAAATGATTTTTTCGAGCAGCTTTAAGTTTCACTTCGAAACCAATACATGCTGAATCATAACGGGTATTAAAAACTCTGTTGCAAATTCTATCGAAACGCTTCTGTTGATTCCTTTTAGTCTTTGAGTTAGGAGAGGGTATAAATTTGAAATTATATAACCGTTTAAGGTACATGTTACGGTGACGAGAGCGTATGATGTTTTTATTGCTGGCGGCCAGGTATTTCATAGAGTATTCAATGCCGAGGCGTCGAGAAAAAATTTGTTTTTCAGTGCCTTCATTCCATCTATGGTAGAGGTGTGTAGCATGGGAAGTTTTGGAATTAAGCAAAACTTGATCTTGTAGACTATTGTGTTTAGTAAAATGGAAAAGTCGAGTTCGGAAGAACTCTTGTTGATGATCGACACAAGCATGACGATTATTAGTCATGACAAAAGGACTAGGTATATGGCAAAGAGATAGGTCTTTGGACTTTTTCAAAGTCATTAAATGTTGGCAAGGTATATAACAGCCGAAGTGAAAACGATATCTCTTGTACGAGAAATTGAAGAAAGTTTTGGAAGATTTATTATGTTGACTTCCAGGGTGAGGGTGATCTTCATTATCGGGTAAGAGAATAATGCCTGCACGTGATCAGATAATATTAAACAGATCCAATAGCTTGCGGCGGATAAGGTTAAAATATCTTTGTTGTATACGTCGTGGTATGACTCGTTGTAAGGAAAAGAAGTGCGTGAGCATTTTACTAATTTGGTATTTGTTGTTGGGGAATGGACTCGTTGAGGTATACCGAATCGGTTTAGTCTGCATGATGTAATCATTTGTATGTATGATAAGGTGAATATCATTGGTGCCTGAAAATTGATCGGCCAGCTCAAAAAAGTAACTTTTTGAGCGTCTAAATTCATAAATCTTGTTATAACCGGTACGATTATTAATATTCACGTGAAATTTTTTCACCGAAATAAGGAAGCTATATTCAATGTGAGAAGTGGGTTTTTGAAAAATATTTTGTGAAGTAGGGAAAGAAATAGCCTCTAGTGGCATATATTCTTTAGAGATAGTGTTATATTCCATCTCTGACTCTTTCAAGGGACGGTTGAGATAAGAGGAAGCCTTTCCGTGGAGGCCACCCCGTGGTCCTCTCCTCTTGAAAAAAATTTTTTATTCGTGAGAAAATAGGTTACTGCGGAATTTTAACAAAAAAAAAACGGAAAGGGGAAAGAGTTTTTTTTTTTCCCGACATTGGTGACATAGATCTACATTGTTCTACAAAATTGACAAGATCATCAATCATGTGACAATATCTATATCTGCTTTAACCATTAATCCTCTCCAATATACCATATACTTCCATGGTATAATGGTACATTATCATTGATATTAATAAATATTTTATGATTATTATTATATTCAAGTAAACCCACTTTGCACAATCAATCTGCTATATCATTTCCAAAATTTTTTAAATGAGATTTAACCTTATTTATTGAACAATTAAATTATTTTTCTTTACAAAATTATAGACCATTTTCCATAATGAAACTGAATTAACATTTGTTGTTCATATTAATTCCTCAGTTCCATATATTATTAATTCCCAGATTATCTGTATAAATTTCGATTCTATTATTAAATTTAACTGTTATTAAAGCTGTAATATTGCCATTAATTCTAACTCAACCATGTCAAAATTATTCATTACTATTAAATAATTCTTATCTAATACTTTCCCTATAGCATCAAGCTTAACCTATTCAATACTACACTTATTATCTTTTTTACTCGCATTATTGTAAATATGTAAATTTCATTCTCACTATATTCTAAACTTTTTATAAAGTCCTCTTCTAATTTAAACTATCTTTTAAATTTCATGAACACTTTTTTAATTATGTCAAACCTATTATCGATTTCTAATAAATGTTCTAAATTTGTTTCTTTAAATATGTTTTCTAAATCTTCCAAATAACTTTTAACTATTCCCTCATTCCTCAAGATTATTTTTTAAAAAAAAATAAAGAAAAATACATTTCTTTATATAATGACCTTCATATACCTCATAACAACTATAAACATCTCTCAAATTTTTCCGCAATTGATGGTAATTTCCTCTTCCGTGTCTATGTCTTTAATCAACTTATTTTCTGTTTGTGTAAACCAATTTGGAATTTTACTTTTACTACTTCTCACTTCATATGTTATTCTACTCCAATTTTTTACATTGTATTTTCTTTTGTATCTTTCACAATTTCATTAATTATGCATATTGGTTGATATGAATTCTGAGTCTAGCTGGCTTTTAAGAACTTTATGTTGAACAAAAATTTCATCAAGGTAATTAATTGTTTATTGCTGAGAATTCTTACTATTGCTTTTTCTAGCATTTCTAAAAGTGTAGTCAAGTGGTGATCTATTAACAGTCTTAATAAATAGAGATCAGCTTTTAAGATATTTTACTTGCAAATGATCTTTTAATAAAGGTAGAGAATATAAGGTTATCCATAAAGTCCACTCTTCTGCTTTGTAATTATTATGGTGTAGTAAGATATGCTATTAATGTATTTCTTGGGATTTGAGTAGGATAAACATCTCAATTCATGCTAATAAAGTAATATACTTTAAGACTAATATTCCATAGAATATTTTTAGTCATTCCATCTTCTTGATACCCTCCACCTTATAAGAGTATTAAGTAAATTTTTCATACAAACTATAATGTGGTTAAATATCTTTTAAATTATTAATGAAAAACAAAATTTGAATATATCTTCTTCGTTCATAATGAATACCCAAATTAAATTGTAATTAATTACTACTCTACTGATAGCTTTCTTCGTTTACAACTTTCTGCCTTTGAAAAGTTAGACGAAATAAACTTGTATCCTCAACTTTATCAATTTTGACATTTTTTGTCAGATCAATTCTATTATATTAAGGTTTAAACTTGTACTGATTGAAATTCAACCACTAAAAACAGTATTTGCTTCTGGGTTTTGCCATAAAGTGCCAAATCAATGCCTTCTAAATTTTTCTTAATGAGATGTGTATCAGCTATTCATAGCTTCATCTCATTATCAAAAGTGCTTCCATTATTCACTTATGTTTTGTATTTTTGTATAAATTCTAAGATTTTCATTTTTTATAATTACTAATCCAAAGATAAAATATCGCCACCACTATTATATTCATCTTCTGAACTCTGAGAATGCATTATTTTATATATTGTACTTGTGACTGCATATCTTAACATCATTAAAGTATGAATTAATGGATAAACATCAACTGTTGGTACCTTAGAGAATGGGATTGGTGCTTTTTCAATCATACAGTATTTAAAGTATATTGTTTTGCTAGAAGAATTATTTGTCAAATAAAATTAGATCTTTCAGATACTTTAAAAATTTTAGGCTTTTTATATTGAACCTTAATATAATACTAATACATCAAACATTGAATTGCCTTGTTTATCAACCTTTGTTTTGAGATTTTTGATCTGAATTCTATTAAATACCCAAAATAATACTAATGAGATTAAAAAAATATAAATTATAATAAAACCATAAATTTGCTTAATCTAAGTTCTACTTCTATCATTTCATATGTTGAGTTCCATCTGGTTAAAACATCTTACTATAAAGCTGGGATAGTCATATGGATTGGAACTTAAATTAGAAATTTTTGAATTGATTGTTATCTTCTTGAGAGGAGCACCTAGAAAAGGAGGAGATAAGATGAAGGAAGTTCAAAAGGTTCAAATGATATCTTCACCTCAATTTCATACTCTATTTAGAATAATTAATTTATGAACTGAATTATTAAGTAGAAATACAAATATGATTCAATAATAATAAATCAAATTAATGAATTTCATTCATCATTATCTTTCTCAAATAACTTTACTGCATAATTGTCTGCTGTGCCTGAAGAAGTCTCATCAGAAATTAAAAGAAATCACCAATATTAATATAAATTTATCCCTAAAATCTATTAAATACAATGGAGTTTTTTGAAGTGTTTTATAAATTTCCAATAAAATGCCATAATATATGAAAATTTTGTACTTAATATCATTTTGCTCAATTATGCAATTTGTATAAATTTTATTTCAGGCCATGTGTTTTGAGCAGCTGAAATTTTTGTCCTATATTACAAGATTAGTCTGGTATAGTACTATTCCTCTGTTTTAAGTGATAAATAATAATGATATAGTTAGAGTAGTTCATAAAATATTCATGTAAACTTTGCACCATCTCGTCTACCTGTCTTCTATTCAGTTTCCTCATATACTGTATGTTGTTAACCCTGTTATATACAAGCTGGTAACTGTTGGATATTATATTATACTTATTAAATAAATTTTGTATTATTTTCTTTTACTTTGAAAAAGAATAAGTATTAAGAAAAATGTTTTAATTGCTCAATTAATTCTGAACAATTCGTATATTACTTAATTTAATTAACATAAGTTTCCATATATTCCTGGCTATTTTCCATTTCTTTTTCCAATTACTTTTGCCAGATTATATTAAATTGACTTTATAACCTGATTTTATATTCATATATTAAAAATAAAATATAAATAAAGTATATCTTTCTTTTTAAAAAATCCCTTTTCTTGCTTTATTTATTCTTAAATAAAGGATAAGAAGAGGGGATAAGGGATGTGGGTTAAGTCAAATCAGGTAATTAATTTTACATCCCCCTCATCTTTTTTGAAGTGTGCTTTGAGGTATTAAATTTTTTATTATTTCGTTTTGGTTTTTTTTATATGCAAGATGAAAGATATATGTTTCTTTTCAATAGCTCTATGTGATTGGATATGTATTTTCTAATTTTCATTTAGTAATTAATCTTATACTATAATTTTATCTTCTTTAATACAGTGATTTCCAAAAGAAAACAATTATAACCCACATATTTGCTAGTCAAGATAAATAAAATGAGTGTAATATGAAATATTAATTATTAGGTTAATGATGAAAAATCCAATATTATATCGATCAACTTTTTCTAGTCTGCGACTTTTTATCTTGTTGAGAAAATAGTCATGAAATCTCTACTAGGACCATTTCACTTTCCTTCATATCTAAACAAAATTTGCAAACATATTTCTTGCCTAGCCAGATTCATTCTTTCAAGTTCATTATTTGATCCAGGTAGATGAAATGATTTATATCAATGATGATGATTTTAAAGACAAAGGAAATATTGACCATTGTCTGAAATTTTTTTTTTTATAAGAAATATTTCTAATATAATAAGGGGTGGAAATCAAAAATATGCAAAGATCATGATGCTGTGAACTATGCATTTTGCTTTGTATCATTAGACCAATGGTCAAAAGATAAAATTTTTTGTATCAAGAATAATAAAAAATTTGTTGACAATATTTTTATAATAAATATTATGTTTTTGTAGTCAATTATGATTGTTCTAAAATTTTCTTCCATTTCTACATTATACTCAATTAATTACTTATATAAATAAGTAACACACAAATCATATATGTTTCATTATTAATGTTTAGTGTGCTTAATAAAGTGGTGTGATAGTAAAAATGGTAGTTTCTATATAGCCAATGTATGCAATTTTTTATCATTCATTTCAATGTTAATACCTGTACTGGCAGTTTCCCTAATGAAAAATCTAAGTGGTTCAACTCAGGGATTTGATAATAATGTACTGCAATGGAACTCTATTCGCTTGAGAATAGTCAGCTGCTTTTCATTCAATGATTAACAATCTACAACACAGCTATAATATAAACTATCATTGAAATCTTTAACTATTTCTAAAAATACCAGCAATAAGCCTGATTCTTGAACTATTGTATTCTTTGCTTATGTAATAAACATTTATAAATAACTTGAATTTTCATTTTGTTATCCATATCAACTGAATATAGAGCTGAGTTATTCTTTTGGATATAGCTGAGCGATGTGCAACAATAATAAAATAAGAATTTTTGAAAAGTTATGAAAGTAAAAAAATATAGTGAAGAAGTGAATGTAGAGTAATGCTACTTTGGGAATATTCATTTTTTGCTAAAGAAATGGCGCCATTTACTATTTTCTTAAAATATCCTGTTCAATCCATGGATTGTCCTTCATAGCTTGATGGACTACAGAGAAAGTAGCAATATATTCCAGTGGGAAGTTAGTTATTACAGCCACACTTCCTGTATAGAATTGTGTTACTTTATCTAAACATAAGTTTTGCAAATTATTTTGTAAAGAGTTATAGTAAAAAAAATATTCTTATACTAAAATTTGTAGGCATCTTATAATATAAGATCATGATTTTTAATTACTTTGCAAAATGTTTTAGAATGTATAACATTTGTGGTATATTAAATTATCCAATTTACAAGTAAAAGTATCAAATATATCTAATAGAACACGTATGGTATCAATTTGATGGTATTTGAATAATATTTTGTGCTGATATATTTAATATATCTCAAGTTGACTTCTATTGCTTAAATTTTGAAGTTTAATTTGGTTTGATTCTTTACTATATGGTCAACTTCTGCTTGATAAGATCTTGAAGCCTAATAATTTATTAAAGCATTAAATTATTTCTGATTGCTACTATATCAATTTTCTTCCATAATATTGCAATAATTGTATAGTGGTTTCCAATTCAAAAGAACTTAAATTTTTAAAATATAAAATATATTAAAACTTTAATCCAACAAGGCAATTTTTTTAGAATTCTTTTATCACACCACCTATGGATGAACATTTAAGGCAATGTATTTCTTGATAAGAACTGTGTTACCCATGTTTTAAATTAATGCACTGGTTTTTATGTACAGGTATTACACCAATCTTTGTTCTAAACAAGTGAATGTCAATTATATATAAAACAAAATACTATAATATCATTACAATCTTGCAATTCTAATTCGATTTTCTTTTCCTCTTTATACTCCTAAAAGGATTTATAAAATTTAATCCGTCCACTATTTTTTGAATTCCTTATGTTTGTCCACCACCTCTCAAAGATAGTTTACTGATTAAATTATGAAAGTTTTTTGTTATTATACATGATACAGACCTGTTGATACATCATCATCGTGAGTATGTTCATTCATGCTTTGACTTTCTTCACATTCATGTGATATGCATCAAGTTCCTTGCTTTGGATACTTTCCAATCATTTTAACAGAAAAAAATGATAATAAAACAAAAGTTGTTCTCTATTATCTATCAACTTTCAATCACCATTTGTTTGAAAATACCTTCACCAAGAAGCATTACCCTCTTTCAACAAATTTTTCTTCTGCATCA